CCGACATGTTGGGGTTACCATCCATGTTGCCATCCAGGGCTCCAACATTGTGGGGTTACTATGTTTTTTTGATCCACTGCCATGTCGAAGGCTGAAACTGTCGATAGGGAGGTACGGGATAGGGAGAAAGCGAAGTCGGCGGTTGACACTGTTTTTTTGTTTTTGGTCCGCAAATTGTGCGGCGGTGGAAAGGAAGGCGGCTAACATCGGGCAAAGAGTAAGATCGTGCAAGCTGGAGCGAGTCAGGCATCTTGTTGAGCGGGGCATACCGCGAAAAGGTGATGCCAGCAACATGCTTCACGCTTCGTGGCCATAGCTTGAAAGGCCCGCGTCTGGAAATGTCTGGCTGTGGACTTGCATCGGCTCATTGCCTTTCCCCGCGGAGCTATGTCAAGTTAGCCGAAATGGAAGGATGGCAACTGGCAACTCAAGTCAGGTCTTGCAGCCGGACCAGCGACTTCGACGCTCCCCCGGCCTGCATGCGGCAGCTCGGCCAAAGCGAAGGCACACAATTTTGAGCCCAGCATCACTGCATGTTGTTTTGCTCAATGTTGGAGTCGACCCATGCGCGATGGCAAACGATCCAGTAGACCAAGGCAGATATCCTAGGGACAATGCACTCATCTATTGGTCTATAGCCTTTGTTGTTGGTGAAACATGACGCAATTCAGCCATAATCAGGGGGCCTGTTCAGACAGTGGGGCTTCATCTCTCGATGGATGTATTCGCAGGAACAAAATCTGGGCCACATGATGCTGTCAAAAGATGAAATCTGGCTCTGTGGAGGGCAACAAGTTCACAATCCAACATTGAAGATGTTAGTTGTTTTGTATTGTCTGTGTCCATGTCTTCTTTGTGGATTCTTCTTTATGTGCCTTCTTTCTCACATCCAGATAACGCATTAGAAGCATGTGGATTGCTAACTCATCTACATACAGTACCTGAATGGTATTTCTTATGCCAACACATGCTATGTCAAATGCTGTGCCACATAAGAATGCTTGATTCATTATTAGTTGTTACTTGTATGTTCAACTTGTTTTACCTTATGATATGTATCTCTAGTAGATTCAACGTTTCAAAAAAGAATCAGAGCTGTTGGTTTTTCGACCGTTTGTTCCTCTCTCTTTTTTCCGTGGATAGGTGGTGAATGTTCCGTCGACAACGTTCTATCGCATTATCGTCTGTTGACATGTAAATGTTGGTATCTTATTATTTGTATCGTATTCATATGTTATTATATGTTTTGTCATTTTCATCATGCTTTCACTAATTCGTTTACAGTCTGTTGTCTTCCTTGTACCTAGATTTCCCGATTATTGGTTATCATATCTCTCTTCTACATGTCTGTGTCTCTGACATATATGTCTTCTTTATGTTATAATTGAAGGTGTCATTTATTTATATTCATATACATGTGCTGTTCCAATTTCATTAGCTAATGTACGCTAGTCCTTCAATGTTATTCTTTTATGATTCTATTATCTTGTTTCATATGATAGGAAAGAAAACTAGAATGTAAAATCCAGCTGGCTCATCAATCTGTTCATGGTTTGTAGTTTCTTCCTTGTGATTTGCTTCCATGAGATTTAACCCTTGCATTTTGTATCGTATATGCTCCCTTTCATTTGCATATCTTGGACATGTTTTAAACCTTGAACATGATGCAAGGAATGGTTCTAGGTGAACAGATGCCATGTAAAGCATTTTAATTCCTGTTCGTCGTGTCTGAATTCCTCAGTTGTTCATTATCTTTTTGTTTTTTGTTGCTGGCCTTCCTTTCGTTGCAGGACATAGTCCGTTGGCACGCGAAGCTTCTTTCCCCTTCACCAAAGCAAGGCACAAGCACGGTGACAGCGTATGCCACAATAGAAGGAGGCAAAGGGAGTCCCGACGGAGGACCATAGGTGTCCTTTTTGGTTGGTTTGCTAGAAAAATAGATGGCCCTGGTGGTTTAATCATCTACCAGGGCGATCTAATTCCCCTAAAAAGGACACCTATATCAAGGATAGTACGACCTGGAGGCCATGCTCCGTTTGGAGACCCTGGTTTACCTGTCTAGGAATTCATAGCATGGGCTGCAACAGGCTGTGAGCAAGTCTTCCCAAAGCGGACACGGGGGTTGATCAAAAGGTCCGTGCAAGGAGTTATGTCGACCTGGAGGCCATGCTCCGTTTGGAGATTCTGGTCTACCTGTCTAGGAATTCATAGCATGGGCTGCAACAGGCTGTGAGCAAGTCTTCCCAAAGCGGACATGGGGGTTGATCAAACGGTCCGTGCAAGGAGTTATGTATTCGGTGGCCCGTTGGTGTTGGTTTAAACCCCTCCGCAAAAGATCAGTGCTGAAGTTTGCGAAAGAGTTGTTCTTCGCAAAAGATCCGCGTTAGGTTCTTGGAGGTATGACGGTGCACTTACATATTTGCAGACCCCACTCCCTTGTAGACAGGGAGATGTGCGTCTTGGAGCAAATTTCGCGAGAGATCCGCCAAAGACCGGCGAAAACCCGTGGAGCTTGTTGCAAGGTTCTGCACGTTGGGTCCAGCATGGAGCAGCCCCAGTTAACGCAAGTCACAGCGTGCAGTTAACGCCAAGCCTGCCAGCGCAAAAAGAATGCTCGGCGCGGCTTCTGCGTTTGCAAGCGTAACGTAGCGTAACTGCAGCAGCCGAAACAGCTTCAGAGCGCACATTGCAAACAAAACGGCGTGGTTACGGTGACGCGAAAGCTTCGCGAAAGAGATTTTTTTCGCGCGAAGATGTTGAACGTGATGGACCAAGGCAACGCCACAGGCCTTTTCTTTTTGGGTCGTGACACGCCCCTCTCCTAGGAAGCCAGTACAGCCGAGCTGCCCAAGGCCCGAGATGGGGTGCCAAGGAAAGGCCAACGAAGTAAAGGAAAGCGGACCATCCGCTTGTATTCCCGAGCGTCAAACATCTTAAAGGGCTGGACACCTTACTCGCGCCTACTTTTGGAACGGCATAGGGTGGAAGAGTGACCCGCTGTCGGATGAATGAGGATGAGACGCTCCGGAACCAATCACGCCAGGCCAGATGCCTTGGGACTCAAGGCGCGGTTTGACAGCACAGCCGAGAGCAAAAGACAATTGAACGCACCCTCTTGAGAAGCTAGGCAAGAATACCCAGATGATACTCGTATCTCATGCGAACACAAGAGGTCACCCCATCACATCATCATAGAGACCAATGAGCTTGTTGCATCCCTCGCTTCACCCAGGTCTGAACATAGCGATTGCTTGCAAAACCAATGGTGCACTGGTGCAGGTCTACGGCTGCAACTGCAAAGCTGGGCAGGCAGGATGGTCTTGGCCGACTAGACATGGCGCTTGAACAGATTTCAGCCCTTTGCTTTGGGGATGCACGCTGATTGTTTTGCTCACGGTCCTTGAGTTGTTTCTCTCAGGCATAAGGCATGGATGGATGGTTCGAAGAATCATAGTATTCATACATGGATGCGTTCGTACGGGTGCTATTACGCACGTCCGAGCCAAGAACGATTGTGCATAATAATTGTTGTCAGCTTGTCAGCTCATAGAACCACCAGCTAGTCAAGCATGGCGCCACATTGTTTCGAGACATATACATACACATCGGCTGCCCATTGCAAACACTGTAGAGTCCACGACATGATGATGCAGCACTGCGGTTTAAATAGTCATTGACGACTTCAACTGAGCTAGGGCTGGTCCCCATCACATGCGTGCATGGTCAACAAGTCTTGGTGCCCGCACTGCGATTCAAAGTGCTGGCCATTGTTGTCAGTGTTTGTTGGTGACTACGCAGATTGGATTGCATGCCCGAGTGGAAGCACGCGCCAGCAGTGTTTGCGCAAGTGGGAAGCGGCACTAGCACGGCTGCTAGCTGACAACTTGGTCAATGTGAGCTACATTAATATAATTAGGTGCAAGGCAAATCATTTCTCCACCTCCCTGCCAACACTTTGTTCCTTGCTTCACGCCTTCATGACATGAGATAGAACTGGATCCCTGTCCCCAATTGCTCATTGAAATGAAGCCCGGTGGATTGTGGCAGAACAATTGAGACCTAAAACGACACTCGACGCTGTTCAATACATATTATTTGATGCATTCACTTTTGATGTTGGACATGCTAGCTTGGTCTCCGCACTGGGCACCGTCGCCTGGGTTTGCAGGCCGACTGCCCGTGTCACGTGCAGTGCATGGACGGCTACCGCATGACCGAGGGAGCGTCGGAGATCACAGAGAGTTGCGATCGCCAGCTAGGGCCAAACTGACTTGAATTGTGGCTGCTGGCCTCATGGGCGTGTCTTTTTTCAAGGGTACCCCTTTTTGTGTGGTTTAACAGGAAACCAGAAGCAACACTTTGTGGGGTTCCCCTAACAATGTTTTCATTGGACGCATTGTGCCTTGGCCAAACTAGATGCATTCAACAGTATGGACGGAGTCAAGCAATCTCGGACGGCGCAGCCTTGGGAAAGGCACTCTCCGGTCCCAGCAACAGCTTCGTTATAGAGAAAGAAAGACACAAGCTCCTAGCTCGCTGGTCTACGGAGGATGGACACCAGCACACTCAAAGGGCCTTCACTGACCCTAGTATGAGGATTCCATTTCCTGCGGCCACGCCGCCTGTGTTACATGAGTTGCCAGTTTCAGATAACTAAGG